AATTGAAGACAGGAACATGCTTCATTCGTCTGAACTATATTCGCTGGACTCTTCCAAGGGAGGAATGGCAGCACAGCAGAATGATTCTTTATCTTTGAGAAGAAGACAGCTCCCATCTGAATTCCACTTCAGATCAGTTACAGAGAACTGTGGGAGTGGATTACTTACACAGTAGGCACCTGAGGGAGTCCACATGTATATATGAGAGCTTCCAGTGCAAAGAACAAGGCGTGTGCAAGTGGGGTCCCAAGCAGCTGCACGGATAGGATCCTTCTGCACCAAGATGGCAGCTAGCTCAAGATGGCGTATATCCCAGATCCAGAGAACAGTTGGCATGCTATCATTACGAGTGCAGATATACTGGCTATCATTGCTCCATGACAGAATACCTGCAAAAAAAATAATAATTTAGTATTGCATCATCAGATGGAAGAGAAGAATTAACATAAATCTTAGTGAAGGGATCTTTGAAGTATAACCATGTTATCATTACCATTTTAAAAATGCACATTTAGTACGTGGAAGAACACAACATTATATTGCAGATTTTTACTCCTAGGTAAATAGAGAAAACAATGTTTTAGATGATTACACATTTTAGTTGATGAGGAAGCAGGACTTACCAATTCCTTGTTTAGGGTTGGGTTTGTCTGCAGGAGGCTTCTGGGAAGGCAATGTAATAGGCACCTCCATAACCTCATATCTGACTCTGAAGTGTCCTTCTGGAGCATCTGTGTGGAAGAAGGGCAGGAATTAGATTTATTTTATTTTATTTTGTATTTGTATTTTTATTTTTTGTAATTTGCAACATAACCCCATAAGTGAATATAAAGTCATCAGTCAGGAAAAAAAATAAAAAAGTCAAAATGAAGATGTTATTATTGATACTTATTATGAGCTACCTGAATGACCTTGCATAAAATCATCGTCCAAACACAGTTCCGACATATCAAGTTGCAGTGGTTCATCTACCTCCTGGTAATATAAGAAACAAGAGTTAAAGGACACTTCTGAGAAGTTAACTCGAAAGACATATGTTGAAGGCTAGAAGCATAGAAGCATAGAAGACAATGAATTGCCTTGAAAACAGCCGCACAGCAAGGAGCACGGACAGTTGATAGGTGCATAAATTCAGCAAAAGTTTTCCAAGTTAGGTGATTTAAAACTCGCAACATCTGATCATAACTGCCCACAGCAAGAAACTGACCACAAGAAGACCATGAAACAGTTTTTACACCCAACCCACTTTCATATGCTTGATACTTAAACAAACATCTTCCATCTGGAGAGTAAATTAGAACCTGAATGGCAGAAGCAAATCAAGGAATTTTCAGTCAAGATAGTAAAAGGATAAAAAAAATGAGACAAGCAAAAGTAAAATTTGACACTAACTGGCAAGAATAGGCAATTTATGATTTGGAAATGCATCATTATAAAACATGGATTCAACCAAGAAAATAGGACACACTATTAAAATTGCTTTTTTAGCTTATCTTAAGACAAAGTATACCCTAGGCTTGAAGCAGAAATCTGTAGCATGAGGGAAGGGGGAGGGGAAGAAAAAGAAAGTGCTTTGAAACTTGCTAAGATGAATAAATGTTACTTCACCTCGTTGATTACCAGTGTTACCATTTATTGGGGAAATGTAAAAAAGAGAAATTTAGCCTTTCTGCCTGCACAGATAGTTCCTAAACCAGGAGTGCTGTAGTTAAGCATATATAAGTAGAAAAACAAAGTTCACCTGCCTTATACTCAAGAGGTGAATCCCATATCACTATAGCACTATCATCAGGAGACCATTCAATATCAGCTAAATCCAGCGTGTCAACAGCAAATGTACCCATTATCTCCCAAGTATGGCAAGATAGGAGATTTATGTAGTCCTTGCAATCCCGCCTTGTGCAAATTGCAGCAAACTTTCCATCTTGGGTAAAGGAAACTCCTTTGGAACCATGCTTTGGCCATTGCACATGAACACATGCAGTATTCAGTAATGACCATACAGTTAGTCGTAACTGAAACTCAGAGGTGGTGAGGATGTGACGGCTATCTGGACTCCACCTTGCATAAGCAATACCAGCAGGACCTTCATCTATTTTGCAGGTCCATTCGGGTTGGGTTAAAGACCATGCCTGAATCATTGGTCTCTTATAGAGACCACAAAGAATGTACTCAGAATCAAGTGCCCATTCAATATAGCTTATCTTATCCAAGCATGAAAACAACTGCACCACCTGCATCACACCATAGAATATAACACATTCATTCACCATCACACGCATAAATCTATAATTAATAATATTAAAACTCAAATCAAATCCAACATTATAAATCCAGTCATATATCAACACAATAAATCCAGTCAAAGACTAAGAATCAAAATAAAATGACAAGCAAAAGCAAAATTATTATAAAGTATCTTTTTTTTTTTTTCTTACTTCATATTCAAGACCCATCAAGCTAAAAGCAACAATGACAAACAGAAATCAAGAAATTAGACATTTTTAAAGCTATTTTCAGCCATTATTGACCACAAAATCAAACCATTTCTCGCATTTTCTTTGCCAACCAAACAGGTAAATCCAAGACAAGGAAAAAAAAAGCAAGTACCTTCAACGAAAGAGTGTCGCGGATCACGAGGCGATAATCGACGGCGACCGCAATGTAGCGTGCATTGGGAGAGAAACAGCAAGGACCCGTCTGCTTGTAAGCTTCAGTGAACTCCATTGGACGATGCAGAGTTGTTCAATGCCAGCGATGAATCTCAAATGCAAGAACTCTCTGCATCAGAGCTGACGGAAAGATGGAGGAAATGGGGTTGAGGAAAAATTTGAAAAATTTGAAGTAGATTCAGAATTTGGAGGATGAAAATCAGGAGATCGAGGAAGGGGAAAGATTTACACTCTGAAAAGCGAGCACAGTAATACCGGAGTTGTGCTCAAAATTTGGAAGCGGTAAGTTGGATTTGACGGGTTCGGGTTTCTGGTCCATTGGGTATAGTCCGAACCCGATGGGTTCTACATAAAGACGAAATTGACCTCTATGGTTTTATTTTTTTCTTTAATCTTGGATTGTGCAATGATTCGTGCCATCTCCTTATAACATATAAGACTATTCGAATTTAACATTTATTATTATTATTTTTCTAACATAAAAATATGGGAAAGGTGGAATATTATTATTATTATTATTTTTCTAACATAAAAATATGGGAAAGGTGGAATTTACAAAAATTAAAATCAAAGTTTTAGTCTTGGTATATATGCACTATATCTAGTGCAACAAGTGCTCCGTTGTAAATTTAGCATTCCTTATCTAAAAGAAATTAATAATGAACTTCTCATGTAGTTCGGAATTAACTCTTATAGTTTTGAAATGGTAGATGGTCAATTTCAAACCTAACGTTATATTGGGATTTCTACTTAGTCCTACATGTTTTTTTTTACCAATTAGATCCTAAAACATTTTAGTAGTTGGTAAGGGTTAATATTTTTGCTAGTCAACATGATAGTAAAGCGTATGTTTGTTATCCTTACTTGGACTAATTTTTTGGGAAAAAAGTTTGCTTCTAAAACTGCACACATACGAGGGAAAACAAATATTAGGATCAAAACACGTGAGTAATTATTAATTTGCAAAATAATTGTTTATATTGTTTGGATTCTTTTCCAAAAAAAGATAAGGTAAAATGATGTTTTGAGGATATGTAATTGATTACATTTGCATATAATTAGTTCAATTGTAAAATAATTATTTACTATTACATTATAACTGATTACATTTTTATCTTAAATTTTGTATTTAAATTTATATTACCTTATTTAGACCATTATGTTGACTTAACACTATCCTATAAAACTTTTTGGGTTTGAGGCCAACTAAATAGGCACGAAGTGCTCAACCATAGCAAAAGGCATTAAATTGAGAATTATTCTAGTTTTACAAAAAAAATTCATAATAAAAACATGAAAAAGAAGTATGTCATTCAAAGTTAATTTAAATTTCAATAAGAATGTAATAGAATAACAATTAGATAAACTAAACATGAAGTTCATCAGTGATTTACTTAGAACCAACTATAGTATTTGAAAATTTTGGGAGTAAAAATGGTGGGTGGGGATCTACCAAAGGAAAAAAAAAAAAACGTTTGGGACTCAATCAAGCAGAATATAAATGTAGGGGTTGGATCAAAATCCTAATAAAAGGTTAGGGACGAAATTAACTATTCACACATTTAAAAAATTAAAGAAAAAAAATTTCTAAAACCTCAAACGACCAGAGGAATCAGACATTAGGGTTTAAGACTGCCTTCGCCTCGCCCCCCAGTTCTCCAGGAGCATTGGGCACAGAACTAGCTTCCATAGCAGCTAGAGCATCCTTTCTTCTCCTACCTTTTAATTTCAAGCATCTGCAAGTTTTCTCATCTCCCTTATTTGATATACCAAGAAAGGAAGACATGGCGACATCAATAGCTTCACAGTTGCAATCGATTAAATCCCTCATTCAAGCCGACTCGGACCCTCTCAAGAGACCCTTCACTCGCCCCTCCATTTTATTCGACCCCAAAGAAGCTGCGGATATTGATGTTGACACTATTCTAAGTATTGCATTATCAGGTGAGCTCCGTTTCCTTCTGTTTGCTTCTTTCTGCTTGTTTCCTGTGAAAAATTTGGTGGGATTACTTGAATATGGAATTTGAAACAGAATTCAATCTTGGGTGAGTTTTTTTTTTTTTTTTTAATTGATATATATATATATATTTTCACTTCAGGGCTAGAGGTTCTCATAGGTGTGGATGATCGATTCAGAAACTATAAGAATGATTTGTTTAGTCACAAGAGTAAAGAATTGGATAGAGAATTAATGGGCATGGATGATAATAATCGCATTAATGCCTCAATCAGTTCATACTTGCGGTTACTCTCGGGGCACCTTCTGCTTCTTGCTTCCCTCAGAACCTTGGAGTACTTGATACGTAGATACAAGTGAGTGTTGATTTTTAACATGCTGTGCAGTTGAAATGCTAATTTTTTATGTAGTGCTTTTCATTTGCATGTTCTTTTATGATAATATGGTGATGATGTTGATCGTTGGATTTTCAGGATACATGTTTACAATGTTGAAGATTTGATTTTATGTTCTCTACCGTACCATGACACACATGTTTTTGTTAGAATAGTTCAGTTACTGAATACAGGGTAAGTTAAAAAAACTTCTTCAGGATAGAACTAGTATAATGTTTCATTAATATAGTTCAGGAAGTTTGATGTCTGGGTTTTGGTGTAGGAATAGTAAATGGAAGTTTCTTGAGGGTGTCAAAGTCTCAGGTGCACCACCTCCTAGGACAGTGATAGTGCAGCAATGCATCCGAGATATGGGCGTCTTGGAGGCCTTGTGCAACTATGTAAGTGCTTGTTTTAGTTACGTACTTTGTGGATATCTTATTATGAGCATCATGTAATATCTGTATGCTACAGGCATCTCCAATGAAGAAGCTTCAGAGTTCAAAACCCATCATTAGCTTTTGTACTGCAGTTGTAATTGAGGTCTTGGGTTCTGTTACAACTATTGACAGTGATATTGTAAAGAGAATCCTCCCATTTGTAGTTTCTGGTCTTCAAACAGCCACTAAGGGAGGTTCTGATCACAAGGTGAGGCTTCAAGTCATGAGTTTGATTGTTAATATTGATTTTTTGTGCCATTGTTTCATTATAATTGGGGATTAGGTTGCTGATTTCAGCGTTCAGTTAATTTGAATTTTATGTTTTACTTTTTTATTTTTTATTTTTTTATGTAGGCTGGTGCTTTGATGATTGTTGGCTCACTGGCAAGTAGAATTGCATTGTCTCCTAAACTTGTAAAAAGTTTAATTCGATCAGTTGCTGAGGCAGCAAGGGAAGATGCAAAAGACTCAAATGACTTGCAACATCTTCGGATGTCATTGATGGCGTTAGTAATTCTTGTTGAGGTAGTTACATTCTAACAAGACAGATCAGCATATCTTACTAGTGGGTTTAATTTAGCCAAGTGGAGCCAAAATATTGTGAAGCTCAGCTTGAGCTTGAGCCTCTGATTATGCTCAACTTGGGCCTTGTTTTTCAGTGTGAAAATGAATTCCTGTAGCTCGAGTTTGGCTTGTTATATGGTTCAGTTGAATTCAAAATTTGGCCAAAAATTGTTGGCTACCTGGTGAAAATGATGCACTCACTGGATTAAATGAACCAACTCGAGCTTATTTATGTACTGAGCCATACTAGCAAGCTTTCTTGCTGAATACACTATTATCCAAGCTTGCTATATTTAACCAATAAGCTGAACCTGAATAGCTCATGAGCAGATCAGCTCATTCCTACCTTACTTACCAAGACACAAATTATCTTTCTCAGACCACAGTTATGCTGTTTTTATTTCTTTTTTCTTTTTTATGATAGTTTTGCATTTGCCAATTTAATCCCGTGCTTTTATCACATGATTTAATTTCCTTGATTTTCTCATTGGTGGTGTTTTGTGGTAACTGATAGGAATAGCACTACTTTTTCCTGTTTGCCAGAAAGACATAAATTTATTTATTTATTTATTTGTTTATTTTTCTTGTGTCTTATCATTCCATGTACAATTTGATCAGCTAAAATTGCTTTTCTTGTAATGAACATGTATTCTTATTAAGATGATGGACTTAATTGAAATTCCTTTTATATATATATATATATATGTTGTACTAATGCTATCTCTATTTATTTTATGATGAAGCTTAAGCCTCTTTTATTTAGTTAGATTTTGAGCAAAGCCTCTTCTTTTTTGGTGGATGATGCCATATGGTTTTAAGAGAAAAATTGTGGCTCAGTCCGACCATTTATGTAGAAAGTTATATCTTCATAGTTCATATTGGTGTCTCTCCATGGAAAAATTTTATCCAACCATCGCCTCACTTTGGGTTGCTTAAAATTTTGTAGCAAAATTCTGCTGATGTGCTCCCAAAGAAGGCATTGGAAAACTTGAGGGAGATCAGGTACCTTGATTGTGACAAACATGTTTTTAAGCATCTTTGCATGCAGCAATGTATTTTCTCCTTTGCATTTTATTCTAATTGCTCTTTTATTCTTACTGTTAAAGGGATTTTGCTGGTATTCTCCTGGAGCTATCTAAGGAGTTTAATATTGATAAATTCCTTTCTGTGCTGTTGGAATCTCTGATTGACTACAGGTATGAACTTAATTATCTGTCCTGTTCTTCCCCAGACAATCTTTCCCTTGTAAAATAATTGTTGTTTATTTGCAGTTCTGATGATTCATGGCACCTTGTCATAACAACAATAATGGAAACTGTTCCTCTTGGAAATTTAGTTGATTCTATTGTCTTAAAGCTTCTCTTTTCCTGCATGAAGTCCTTACAGAGCGATAACAATTCATTGTCATCGGAATTAGGTATAGTCATATGAAGTACATTCTCCATAGCACTTTCATTTTTCTACCACTTTGTTTACCTTGAGATTTTTATTTTTAACTTCTTTGTCAATCATTTCCTATCCTTTCCAGGAATGTAACTCTTAACTCTTCCTATTGTATTGTACAATTATACAGAAATGATTATCTTAAGCTGTTAAGCATTACCACCATTACCATTTTGATTATGCTTCTTTCATTCTGCATTGTTGGGTAGGAAGCAAGGCCAAGAGGATTTTAGCTGTTATTCATAAGAATTATCCATCTCAACTAAATAGAGCAGTTCACAAGTTCTTAGAGGTTTGCCATATCTCTCTCTCCATCTCTCTCTTGCAGACATCTTTTATGGGTTCAAAATTTTGATTCTTTTGACTTCAAATAGGATAGCAAAGTACAATCCAAGAAAGAAGACATAATATTTGAGTTCTTGTGCAAAATATTGGATGAGAAATTGAATTTGTCAACGGTTATCTCAGATTCAAAAATATGGTTTGCGTCACACCACCCAAAGGTACTATCTTCTGCCATATCATGAATAAGTCATTTTTTGGGTAATTTATGATATATGTGCCTGACTTCTTACACTTGTTAATGTGACTTAGCCTGAGGTTCGACGGGCTACACTTTCAGGGTTAAATAGGTCTGGCATATTGAAAATTAAGGCTGCTGCTGATGACCAGGTAATACTCTTGTAGTTTATATGTATACTCTTTTTCATTACTTTGGAGTATCAAATGGCAATTTTTCCCATGCCAAGCATACCCTTTATGTTCACAAGAAATATGCAAAATTTTAAAATTTTGCATTGAATGCTTATTTGATGCATTCTTATTCTTTTTGAGCATGTTCCTCTGACCTGGGTTAGTTGTTGGACATAGTTATTTTTGATATGGGCATGTTAACTTATTTTTATTTTTATTTTTATTTTTTTTCTGTTTTTTTCCTTATATTTGGAGCTTGTACTCAAATAACTGTATCCATTTAGGGGTCTGATATTCGTGAGATATTGGTGTGTTGAGATAAATGTTGACATAACAATAGCCTGGATTGAGCATGTTACATGAAATTTTGAGTTATAGCATGTAGCAATTCGCTACCTTGAAACTTTCTAATATGGGATGTTCTAGAAATCCTTTTGACCATGGATTGGTATTTATTATTTTGATGGAAGCTGATCTGGTGGAAAAATTCTGTTGTGTTTGTCTGGGCCAAATCTGTATTTAGTTGCATTTTCTTAATATCAAGTTTGCCCATCAGATTATCTGTTTTTTATGCTGATATTTTTAACGTTTCTTCCCTTGTCAGAGATTGGTAACTATCAAAGATGCTGTATTGCATCAGCTTCATGACAATGATCTGACTGTGATCCAGGCTGCTCTAACTCTGGAAGGATTATCTGAAATAATAAGTTTTTCTGATCTTCTCAAAGCATTGCATGATGTGCTCAAAAGATGTTTGGGCATTCTAACGTCAAGTGAGTGTTCATTTTTTTTCTTGCCCTGACCAATCCTTATCTCCAGTGAATCCATCCCCTCCAGAAAAATAAAAAAAGGAAGAAAACCATCTTCCTCTACTTTCCTATGTTCATTGCCCTGCTGCCTTATTTACCTTCATTGCAAAAAAGGGAAAAAAATTTAGAAGTTACAATTTTCGTGGTTATTTGTTTTGATCAAGAGTTTACTATGTTCTTGACTTTGTGCTCCAACTTATGATACTTTTTAGTTTTTATGCACTGGTATTGATATATTCTGCTTTAGGTTGTATCTTTCTTCACTTTGATTTTGATTTGTTCTAGATGCTTTCTGGTTTATGCCATAATTAAACTTGGAAGAAAAGGTTGGGCAGAAGATTCTGGAGTAAAACCCTAGACTTGCTAGAATATCCTGCAAATTTATTCTTACAATTGAGTTAAATGAAAATTTGCCTTAGAGTTGGTAAAACTAATTCATCAGCCTTACACTTGAATAAAATAGTAATATGATGCTGAAGTCAACCTACTCCTTAAACTTTTGTTCAAGTCAACTAAGCCTAAATGTAATATGTTGAAGGGATTAGCAGTTTTCTTATAATTGGTTGAAAACAGTTAAGTTGAATTTGTGGCATGCTATGTATCTAGAAATCAGACTTCTATGTGTTTCAATTGTATCTTATAATCTGCACTTGCAGGTTCATCAGATGAAATTACTTTAGCTTGTGATGTTGCTGTTTTGTTCCTAAAGATTGCCGTTTCCAGTTTCCATGATCAACCACAGTGTTTAAAGAAAGTTGCTTCCATGATGTTCCCTTTACTCTTAATTTTTCCTGAGGTACATTAATGAATAAGGTTTAAAGTTCTCAATTCTGCACTAGTCAATTATCTAATATTTATAATTATTTGATGTTGATATGTTGATTTTGTATTTGTGTGCAGACACAGAGGTTGAGCTTAAAGGTTTTGGAACTAAGTAAGCAATTAAAGTGGCCATTTTTCCAGAACCTTGCTGTTATCTCTAGTGAAAAAATGGTGAGTTTTTGTTCTCATGATTTTATATTTGCTCCCATATGATTCAATATTCTAGAAGGTTTTGTTTTAAGATGTAAGAATGAAGTAAAAGAATTTGTGTTAGTCTTTGCAATGTTTATAATAGTGGAGGTCAAGTAATCAGGTTCTCCTGAATCTTGATATCTTCACTTAGTATCCTAAAGAACAACTGAGGAAAGGATATCCTAGACTTAACATTTTCCATTTTGTGTGTGTGTGTGTGTGTGTGAATTTGGAAAAAGTTAATAAAGGGTAATTTTGTTACTTAACTGAACTGCATTGTTTTCTATTTTTTGTGAAACCCTTTTTGGTGTTATAATTATTTTCAGAACAAATTTGAATTTGTGATCTGGGAAAAAAATGCAGAATGTGCTAGCTGGACGTATGTCTTCAGTTGGGAAAGACAAAGACAGATACGAAAAGAAAAATCAGAAACGTGGAAGCATCTCGACAATTAATATGGACATAGTCAGCAGTTTGGCAGAAACATTCTCACGGGACCCAGATGAATATATTCCTTGGTTTACCAGCAATTGCAGTGATTATAAGTCGAAGACTTTATTCTTTTTGGTTATGATGCAGTCTTTTTCATTATCACAAAATAGTATGTTTCACTTTTCTCAATCATAATAAGAAATTTGATGTTGTTTTCAGTTGTCCTAATGCATGCTTTCTTTCCCTCATTATGTATGTCAGTGATATTTCAAATTTCTTCTGTCTTCTATTTAACTTCCATTTTTATACAACCTCAAGCCTTGGATGTGGATATTCTCTTGTAAAATGGGTTGTTTGATATAATATTGTTTTGTATGGTCTAAAACAACAGAGTGGTTCCCGAATAAATATCCACTGAAGCAAAATAAATATCTGTAGTAATATTGTATGTAAAGACTCAGATTCCCTCTACAGTGGTTTTCTCATGTTTAAATGTTAGGTGACATGGTAATTGGTTATTGCTTTTATTTTATTTGTTCATGTTCAGTTCTGTTTTTATAATTTATATTCAACGTTATCCTTTATGTTTCAGTTTTCCTGTTGCTATTTTCACATATCATAATGGAAGGTTATTTTCTATGTTTTTGCATGTTAAAGCTGGTAAAGTTTTGGCACTTTTGGAAGCTTGTTTTCCAGTTCTCAAGATTGAGTGGGAAGCTTTAGGGTCTTCAGTTGATGCTTCCCTGAAAGAGGTAAAGATGTGAAAGTTTGTAGTCTCTATTTTATTCTATGCATTCTTTGTGATCCTTAACTTTCTGATTGGCAGTTCAAAGAAGAAATGCTTGATTGGGATTGCAGAACGTTTCTAGATCAGCTATTTGTTGTTGATTCTGATGCACTGAACACCCATTTACTTACCTGCTTATTTTGGGGGATAATCAAGGCATTCATTTCATCAACATCTGCTTTATTGCTGGTTGGTGATGTTATTCTCTGTCTTGGTTTATCGCTTTGTTGGCATTTTGATGCTACTTTCCCAATTTTGTGGCATTTTGATGCTACTTTTCCAATTTTGTGGCATTAAATAAAATATAAATATATATTTTAGGATGATAGTGAAAGGGGCGTTAACAGGCTTCAGGATTTCTTCATCTTTTTTGCGGCTTCTCGTCTGAATCATATTTATAGAAAGCATCTTCAAGAACTTGTTGAGAAACATCTTCATGACCTCCTTCCAAAGTGCAAGATGTCTCCAGTTCGTTTGCTATCCAGGTTTTTTACGGAAGGTGCATGTTATGGCTTTCCCTTTTCCTATTTATATAATTATTTCTCAGGCAGCAAAAGCAAAATTTATTGTAAACCAAAAGTTAATTATGAAGTTCCTGTTGTCCATACTTATGAGGAGCATGTTCTGAGACTGTAATATAACAGAAGGAACTAACAAAGGACTAAATTATCAAAAGAAGCATCTGTAGAAGTAGTTTTAGCAGTTCCTGGGTTATGGTAACCTGCTATGTTACTGCAAGCAGTACTATTTCTTTTCTATTTTTTAAACTCCTTATCCTGTGGTAGAACTGATATTGGTAATTGTGTTATCTGGCATGCATTCTTCACTTTTAGGCATGCTCCGTGATGACTTCCCATATCTATCTGGTTGTTAATTCTGGGGTTTTTATATTTTTCAAAAAATTAGAGGACTGGAATCATTTACCTATTGGCTTTTCTATTTGTTTATAAGTGTCACACCCTGATAGAATATTCAAAATGTTCTTGACTGGTGTTTGTGTCATTTAAAATAGTTTCTGTTAACTTTTAACAGGAGAATGCTAATTATTTTGTTACTATGTTTAGAGTGGAAATTTGTTGTAGGTATATTTGGTAACATTTTTACATGATTAAGCTTTTTAATTTTGTAAAAATCACTCATTGATTTTAAATCTGCATTTGGTGCATAAAGTCAAAAGAACTTATTAATTAGTTTAAGCCTCTGATATACTGGAAGGCTATACTACTTTCTAGCTGATGCTTTCCACTTTCTATCATGGCAATCACTAATCGGCTGGGGCCAATTAGAACAGTTTTATTTTATTGTGGGTTAAAGAAAGAATGGGAAGCTAGAAATTGCAAGGTTTGGAGAAATGGAAAGTTAAAGCAATTATAGAGAGATGACAGGTTGCAGAGTTTCAATATTTTAGTAGAAAAATATAAAACACATAAGATGGAAAAAGATATGGAATAGACTAGAAACTGAAGAAATGGGGAACACAATCAAGGGACGTATGCAAGGGCCGAGGATATAACTTGTCATTGTTTCCTAAATTTGCTACATATATTATGTAGAACCAGAAGTAAATTGAAAAGTAAAGATGTTAGGGTGGTGTGTTTGCATTCCTTTGAAACGGAAGGAGAATTAACATAATTGCCTTGATGAATTTCTTATTAGTTCTTATTAAGGATGAAATTTTCCATAGTTTCTTAGCTAAGTTGGTAATGTATTTTTGGTTTCAGGTCCAGATCCTGGATTCAAGTCATAGTATTCTCTTCTGAAGTGAAAAACAAAATCTAGATTTGTAAATTTACTTTCAGTGAACATGGTGATCACATGGGGAGATATTCATCTACATAGAGCATTTTCCAAACAGTTAGTGTTAATGATGTTTCCTGGATGCAAGTCATAGTTGTGCTCTGTTCTTAAGAGAAAAACAAAATCTAGATTTGAAAATTTAGTCTCAGTGAACTTGGTGAAATGCTTTATGTTAATCACATAGAGAGATTCATCCATGTAGTGCATTTTCAAAACAGTTAGTTTTGATGGTGTTTGGGAGTTGGATGTGGTTATCCACTGCTCACTCAAGATGGTCTTTTCTGAAGCATTTGTTCATCAACTGGTGGAAGCTGTTTGATTACGGTTCTAGGGCTTTTTTTTTATTTATTCTAATTATTCTATCCAGTTCCATGACAAAGCAGATATTTGTGATACAATATAATGTCATTTCTCTTCAGTTTGGGAATATTTTCATAATGTAGTGGACTGTTGTTAGTCTTGAGGATTGGTTCGTAATTGTGTGTTCTTACATCTGGCTTTTGATCTTGCAGATGTTCCTGCTGATGTCCAAGTTCAGAGTCTCCACTGTTTTTCTTTTCTTTGTTTGCAGCTACATGATGGATTGCTGTTTGATCTTCTGGCTGAATTTCCATCAATTCTTGTTCCACTTGCTAGTGATCACCAGGTTTCACCTTATTCTAATTTCTAAATTTTTTTAAAGTGTATTCTGTTGCAGACCTTATAAATTTGTCTTATGTGTTTTTTGTTGATTTCTTTGTAATTGCTTTGTTTATGAGTCTAAAGATTTGAATGTCTGTTTACAGGCTACTAGGTTTGCAGCAATGGATTGCATCGATCACCTTCATAAGTTGTGGTGTCAAGTTGATTTCTCTAGCAAGAAAAATGGTATTACATGTGACTTTAAGTTCTATGGTACCATTATTTTCACTAGATATGATTGTATCTGAATTTTGGAAGGCTAAATAACAGGCAATGCTGCAATTTGGAGCCATTTTCTTGGTGATCTCTTAGCCTTGATGATTCAACAAACAAGGCTCATATTATCAGACAAAAACTTTCTCTCTTCTTTTCTGACATGTTTGCTAGGCTCATCCCGCAATAGCATTTTAGTGCCTCCAAATATTGAACAGAGGTATTGATCTAGTTTATTTCCTGTGTTGATTATTCCCCATCCCCATAATTCTTTTGTAAAGAATTTGCAATGTTTCCTTATTAATATACTCACTGATTTCATTCATTTAAATATTCATTAAGTTTTTCATTTTTCTCTAGATTTGTGGTTGGGAACAATAGTCTATTTGGCATTTTAAGAGTGTCAATTATTTTTATTCATATAACATCATGATTTATTGTTTTCACCTTTTCAACTGTTGGATTAAAGTCTACTGTGTTTGTTGTGATCTTAAATAGATTTTGCATTGTGCTTGTATGTAGTATTACTTTATTGGGATTAATTTGTTTGTCATGCAATTCTCCAATTTCAGATTTGATCAATCTACAAAAGAGAAGATTCTTGCTTTCATATTAGGTTCTGCTGTAAAGCTTTCTGGATTTGGGCAGGTTCATTTGCTTTCTTCCTTTAACTTTTCCAGCACATGCATCTGAGTAATATTCAGATGGCACTCCATAGTTTATGAGATGTTTTGCTGTAGTTTCCTTTTTACTTAATGGGAAAAGGAATATTTGATAGATAAAAAGTTATGATTAATTTTGTTGGCAGTTCAAGGTTCTGTCTTTACTCAAAGGATTGGGTAATGAAATTTTTCACATCAAAGATGTTGAGTCATTATTGTCTGGGCTTCTGACAAAACGCAGTCAACATCACTTTAAGTTGGATAAGTCATCCGAAAAATTGTCACAAATTGAAATCAAGACCTTGTGCTTACTTTTGGAGGTAAATTTATATATCTTCTGTTTGCTTTACTTTCACCAGCAAATGATTCATAATCATTGATGAGGATTTCATTCTGGATTTCTAGAGTTGTGTTGTTCCCTCTTCATCACTTGATGGAAATCATTATGAAGTTCATGTATTGGAGACTTTGCAAGTAAGAAAACCTTTGCAGTCTGTATGCATTGAGTTTATGTTTTGTGTCTTCAATGTTAAGCCCCTATCATGCCTCCTTTTGCGTTACAGTTGGATTCTACAACTCCGGAAGAACCTGGTATCATAGAACCTTGTGTTGCTGTCTTGCGAAATATGAGCAGTAAATTTTACAGCGGTTTGACAGCCAATGTACAGGTTATTTTCATTGGAATTTCTGGATCTTATTCTTATTGCTTAAAATTCTCAAGCCAAACCTCTCATGATAAGTTTCTTAGCTGTTTCTTAGAAAAAGTTAGAAAAATGATTGAATCATGATATGAACGTGGTTGTGTAGGTGTAAAAATGTAGAATGTGCTATAGGCATTGGGTTGTCAGTGGATAAAGTTGGTCTGCTCTTTTTTTTTTTTTTTTTCCAATATGTATTCTTTTCCAACTTAGATTGTACGTCGATATTGAGTGATATTCTGGGAGGAAAAAGAGATCATTTTGCATGAATCATTTGATTTTGAGGTTTGCTAGACAAGATACTTGCATGCTGATTTACAGAATCTGAATTCCTGCAGAGTTTGAATCTTCAAAAAGTGCCAACTTGTTAATTGGGAGACTTAATACAGATTACTGAAAAACTGCTGTAGAAAATGACCCTATGTAATCTAAAGCTAATTTGGTTTTGCAAATTGCAATCAGAGTACTACATTAATGGAGTTCAGTTATTAATATTTCCTGGTTTATCCTGCCTTTAGTTGATAACTGCAATATAACATGATACACTGTTCTTAGTGGTGCCTGATTTCTTTGGGTGTTTTCATTGATTTCTTTTTCTTTTTCAATCAGGATCATTTGTTTCAGGAGCTGGTGCTTTTGTATCGGAACAGTAATGGCAATATTCAAAATGCAACCAGAGATGCCTTGCTACGCTTGAATGTTTGTTTCTCTCTCTGCTCTCCACAGTTTTAGTTATCTTTTTTCTATTGATGAATCATCTTTCAGCACATTTAAATTTCACTTGAATCTTGTATATATTTCACAACTGCTACTTGGTCAAACATTTAACTTAGTATAAAAGTCATCATATACTCGATGATTTGGATGTTAAAAAACACTTGATTTTAGTAATATTGAATTCTACTTTTGTGTTAAAATTGCATTCAGAAAGGATTTCTTTTGTATCTTTGTACATTTTTACCCTATTCTTTTGGGGAATGTTTTTCTTTGTTTGCATGGTTAACTATGTTCTTTTATCTGAAATGCACATGGTTAGTCCACATCTTTAACTTGAAATGATATTTGATGAATATTAGATATTCCTTCTATAATTAATTTTCTTCCAGAGGCAATGTGATAGTTAACTGTTGTCATTCTATGAATATTGCAGATATCTTGCTCAACGGTCAGTCAAATGCTTGATCTTATATTGAAACAAGAAGCTCTTGTAGTTGATTCAGATTATGGGAGGAAAAAGAAGAAATCAGGAGATTATTTAAAGCCTGATCTCTATCAAAATGCCTATTCTAAAGTCAGAAATGCTCTCTTTTTCCTTAGCTCCCTTCTTGATGTATTGCTACTGAAGAAAGACATAGCAAACAGGTCTGCTGCTATAGGTCTCTTTGTTTATGAATAACTCTCTTTGTTTATGAATAACTATTTTATTTTATTTTATTTTATTTTTTAAATATGGTAATTATCAGAAGTCCTATAATTTCAAATATAGTCCCCATTGTTTTCTGAAGCTAACTGTGTTTTGATTCAATGTTTTTAGGGAGTCTCTTATAGGACCCTTATTTAAGCTTCTTGAGAAAGTTTTATCAGATGAATGGGGACAATGTGCTCTCCTTCATAATGAAAAAGGGATCCAATCTTCATTAGAAATCTCTCAGGCCAGTTCTAGTGTAATGTGTTACATTCAACAGACACTATTGTTAATTTTGGGAGATATTTTTGCTTCACTCCTGAACTCCAGTCCCACAAAGGTATGGTATTTGTATTATGTAGTTTGGAGCTGTTAGATAGCATGACACCTGGGTTTGGTTTTTCTTATTTTTTTGGTTCTAAATTAATGTATCATTGCATTGCAGGATGATGCAATGAAAGAAATTGATGTCAAAATGTTGGTTAATTGTGCTCGTGGGACTGAGGATGCTGTCACCCGTAATCATGTCTTTGCAGTTTTATCCTCCATTGCAAGGTTAATTCCAAGCAAGATATTGGAACATATATTAGATATACTTGCAATTATAGGAGAATCAACGATTACGCAGGTGATGTTTAGTATATGTTTAACCCACATTTTTTTTAAAACCTCAATTCAGAGTTTCCTAGTGTTTGATGTGTGTTTTGAGAAATGCTTTTAGATATAGTTGCATTCTTGAGGTGATTATTTGATATTCTATTTTCTGATTATGCTAATTTTGCATATCTATGTACAGATTGATAACCACTCAAAACATGTCAGTGAGGATCTTATATCTGTCGTCGTTCCCTGTTGGCTGTCTGAAACAAATGATATAGAAAAATTACTTCAGGTAATTATTTACCTATTTACACCTTGTTTGAATGATTGAGTATATTTGTATAAAGTCAACCTTCTTATGTGGTTATAATTATTCTTCAGATTTTTATAAATATATTGCCTGAAGTTGCTGAGCATAGGAGGCTGTCAATCATTGTCTACCTTTTAAGGTATTTCCAAGACTCAAAAACTTGATTGCCCTTGTGCATTTTTAGCTTCTGCTTACTGTTAAGGTGCTTTTCTGCAGGATTCTGGGAGAATCTGATAGTTTGGCTTCTTTACTTGTCCTACTTTTCCATTCTTTAGTTTCAAGAAAAGGATTGTCTCACCTTGATGACATACACACTTCAGAAAACTTTTCATCCTCTGCACATAAAGAGTGGGAGTATGCATTTGCAGTGCAAGTATGTGGCCAGTACTCATGCATGATATGGCTTCCTTCTTTGGTTAAGGTTCTTCAACTTATAGAAAGGGATGATCTGGGTCAAGAACTGCCCGTGCAATTGCTATTTGCAATGGGATTTATTTTACATAAATTGCAAGATCCAGAATTTGCATTGAAGCTCAAATCAGGGGAGAATTCAGATAAAATCCAGGTAGCTTTCCATTTATTTTTGGGTTTTATATATGAGGCAGTAATATAGTTTGGTTTTGTGTTTGTAAGCTTGATAGATGGATTTTTTAGTTTCTTGGAAAGATTGTACCATAGGCTCTGTGTGGGCGTGGGCCTACGTCCATTTTGGAACTTCTTGTGGTGAAATGCATTTTGCATACCACTTCCTTTTCTATTGCAGGTGAAGTATGTAATCTCTGATCTGTCAGGGAAAAAAATAGTCATGCAATATGATAGGGGTTGTTGGTCCAATGATGGTTATTTACACTTTAGGAGCATCTATCAATTCTTCTGCCTAATTAACCAATTCTTTTTTTAATTAATTATTATTATACTAAATCCTTGATCCTCCTGAGATTTTGGTCAGGGAATCAATGTTGAACCAGGCACTTTTTTCTGACTATTTGCATTGTTGTAATTTTCTCATATGTGCTTGTAATGATGATCCTTATATTTGACTCAAATATCTTTTGATGAATTAACCCTACAGGAAAAACTTGAAGAACTTATGAAGCATGTTCTTTCTCTCTTTCAAGTGGTAGATGCCAGAAGAAAGCAAATAAACATTCCAGTTATCATGAGGAAAGAACTGAGGGCTCGCATGGACTCTATCTTGAGGAATATTACAATGGCTATGACCCCAACAGCATACTTTCAAGCCATCACAAATTTACTTGGTCATGCAGATGGCAATGTGAGGAAGAAGGTAAGTGAAAGTTTCCTACAGAATTTTACATATGACAAGGGATGATTGGAGTTTGTATACCCATGATAGTCCACTAATGGTATTGAAGAAATATTGACCAAGTTCCCAGAGAGGAAACTGGTGGTTTTAACTTATTTTCTATGGGCTTCCTGCATAATGAAAGTAAAATGACCCACATACTAGGTTGTGCATGAGAATTTGTGCTTCTGAGATATGCAAATTTTGCAGT